GGCGGGGAGCCGTACTGCCTTCATATGTTTTGCGGCTCGATGCGATTTCACCCGAGACTGAGTAATTGCGTTCCCTGTCCGCACTTGGTATCCCCGGATTAAAGGCGAAGGGCCCCGGCTCTGCCAGCGTTTAAGCGTACGCTCAGCTCTGTAATGCCACGCAAATCCTCAAGGGAACTCGTCTGCCCGAGTATTTTCGTAGTCACTCAGTCGTGTGGCCCTCCCCTGCCTTTGCAAGGGACTTTTTGGCCATCCCCATCTGAAAAGGTTGTTCTACAACTACTTCCCTGAAGTTGATGAGATGCTTCAGAGGCATTTGAGGGTCTCGGAGCTAAATGTGTTGCCTGTTTGGTCATTTGATCGCTTTTGTCATTATTTAAGATGCCAATTTGTTTTCCCTTTGGGAGGGAGCATGGCTGTATTTTACAGGTTTGGATCCACAAAAGGATTATCTGTTTGCTTCCCACACAGGATTGTAGGAACCGTGTGATGTAAAATACACCAGCTTTCAAGAAAACAAAGGGTTTTGTATAAAAAATAAGCACTGGAAGTGATTAAAAAAAAATTCTCTTTCAAGTGACAGTTCAGATTATGGAAACGCTATAGATTATTGAGTCACACTGTTTGAGAGAGAGATGCGTGAATTGCAGTGCTGCAAGTTGTAAGTAACTTTCAGGGGATTTGTCTAATTGTGGTCTCAATTCCCTCCTGTTGGATTTAGTGACAAAACTTCTGGGGCCAAATTTTTAACTGTAGCACCAAAATGATTTGCCCAATCTTTCTGGGTTCTGAGCTACTGTGGTTCTTGTTGACTTCAACGGTATTAGATAGCAGAGAGTGTACGCTGAATTTCATTAAAGCACATGTTGCTGTTTTTATGTTGCACATTTGAAAATCCAGGCCCTTTTTTCCTAGATATTTATGAGGGAACGGATATGTAAGTTGAGGGGCACACACTGAGCATACTGATCAGAATATCTTCAAAGCTCTCCTTTATGTAAGAAATGGCAGAGGAAAATAAGTCTTTCTAAAACTTTCTCAGGGCGTTCTCGGTACTTGTGGAAAAACTCAGCATTGTAAGTTATTTGTTGCGCAGCGACAATAAAATTGTGGGCAAGAAGCGACTCTGGTGTCACTTCATAACTGGTCTCATCTTGTTTTTTATTATTGGAAAGTAAGTGCAACTATGCAGTTGTACTGTCTCAGGATCCTTTTAGCTGCTTCACTTTTTAGATGCGCCTGTGGTTACTGAATTAAAATTATGTGCAAAGCCTGGGTTGGCCCATCAAGCTGGTGGAGTAAGGCAGCACCCAACCCAAATGTCCAGGTAACTTATTCACAGTTGAGTTACGTGTTTATGGTGTAAGGTGTAATTCTGGAAAGAGGGTCAACCCATGGTATCTTAAACCAAAGCAAGGATCTGGGAGAAAATAGGATCATTCATCTCTCTTTTTTGCCTCAGAGCCATCTGGATGATATTACCTCTTTCTCTGATCTGCTGTTCTTAAGTTTTTTCCTTAAGGCCATTATCACGGTATCTAAGAACATCTCGGGAACTTTAGGGCTGGAGAGAATTTTCCAGAGGTTGCTGGTTTGGCTTCTTAACAAACAAATAAATCTTTCCTATCACAGCTGGGACAGGGAAGATTTCAAATTCTGTCTCCCAAAATAAGCTCATACCTTTGTGTCCAGAGGTGAGCATATAACAGACATGCCAAGTTCCTGTTTGTAAAGTTATTGATACTTTAAGCATTAGATTATTTGGGGGCAAACAGGTCAGTAAGGCAGGCTCTGGATGTTTTAGGCAGAAGAGAGGGTTGAAAGCCGTACGCATCTAAGCGAGCGTGCAGCCTGCCTCGTAGCAAACCAACAACCAAAACCAGTGGGCCAAAAGCAAGAGCTAATCTGATCTCACTTTAAGGTTAGCTCTGCGTTGACAGGGGAGGTGACCTGCAAAGCTTCTTGTGGAATAAGCTCTTCTGTGATTTTAACAGAAAAGGGAACCTGAGGCAACAATGAGGGACTCTCACGCTCTTGGGATTTTTTTAGAAAACTCATGGAAAGCATGGCAATGTGTCTGGTTCCACCTGCAACTCAGCAAATGGAAATGCTGCCAGCGTGCTGAGCCAGGTGCAAGACAGGGCTCGCCCGGGTGCCCGCTCTCCCTGGGGAAGGGTAATCTTGCCCTTCCCTTCTTCTGTTGGGGCAGAAAATAAGGCAGCTTATTTATTCCTGTGGACTTTGTGCTCCCGTGTTGCTGGAATGTGATGTTTCCATGGAAATGCACTGAGATGCCTTAGACCTGTGTGCTCAAGTCACGGCACCAGGAGATACATGTGAAAGGGCTGGGGCTCCCTCGGGGAAGAGAGGCCTGAGTTACGGTAATCATCAGCTCTCGGGTGGGGTGACAAATTTTCATTGTATTTATACGTTGGCAGTTCAATAGTGCAGGTCTGGAGAAATATGGATGGCCTTGAAGAAATTTTTGAGCAGGAAGGCAAGGCGCAGACACCTCTCTTAGGAGGCAATGACAGGCAGCAAGGACATAGCAAAGAAAATCTGTTTAAAAAGAGCTGCTCCTGTGCTGCATTTCTTTCTTTTGAGACTCCAAAATTAGTACATCAATAGTATCCGCATGCTCTGAGCTTCAGCACTTGGTTAATACCATAAGAACAGGCTGCCTGCCTTTGGCCAAGTGTCAAGGGCTCCTGATGCCTGTTTAGCCACCGTTCTTCCTACAGGGTTGAGAGGAAAGGAAGCATCTCAGTAGGAAGTATCCCAGGACATACGTGTTTCTTTGGAGCCCAACTGACTCCCGATGGAGTCAGTGGAAATCCAAGGTGATGTAAGTGAGCTTTGGAGCAGACGCATACCTACTGTGAACTGAGAAATGAGCTGTTGTGATGTCTGCCCGAGTGCAGTCATCTCGCGTAGGTACTTACGTTATCCGCCTAGACTCTCTCTATAATCAGTGGAGCTTCCAGGGAGCAATTCAAAGCAGTTAAATTAGAAGCGCGTAGTGAAAAGGTGCATACGCCTCTGCACTCTGAAAAACAATATTACATCCCAGCTCAAAGTTTGTGTGGCACTGACATGTCGTGTTTCGGGAAAATGCAGTTGCAGGTGGTATAAAGAAGAGAATGTTACAAGCAAAGCACAGCGAACGGGATGGGAAATAATGAGTGTGTTAAAACTCATTTTAATCAAAGGCTGCAGCTGGACTCAGCTTTCTTAGCGCTGTCAGCAAAAGGAACAGAAGAGCGATTTGAGTTGAGGATGGGAGGGGCCCGTTATTTCCCAAGCAGCCGTGGGCTGGTCTCCATGTCACGTGTAAAGCTTTTATTCCACGTGTTAATTTTGTGGTAAACATGCGAATGATATGCTTGAAAGGAGCCCGAGCGCTGTACAACTAGAAGGAGATGTCTGATTTTGCCCTGTAAAGTATTACCTACTCATTTGATGCACAAATTTGAGAATTGGCAAAGGTGACCAAAGCTTCCTGCTGCGCGTTTTGATCATAGCATCATGTTGCTGGAGGAGTACACAAACTGGACCTCGATGGACCTGAGCTAATGCAGAGGCAGCAAGTGAAAAAGCAAAGGCAGTTTGTCCTCTTGCTTCCTCATTTCCAACTGTTTTCCCTTCTTTTTCCTCTTTAAATTTGCAGGTAAAAATGGCTACAGAAGAGAAGTGGAACAGTCGGGCTTGGAAACAGCGTAGCGCAGCCGACCAGGCAGGCAGCGAAGACTCGGGCATGCCTCTGGGCCGGCAGCTGGGGGAACCGGGAAGATTTGCTTATGCAGCGCTCTGTGGCACATCCCTAGCATGGCTGTTTCCTGAAAAAGAGCAAAGGTACTAACTGCTACGTTCAGTAGCCAGGAGGCGAGCAAAGGAGGCGGCTTTTGGGTACCAGCTCAGACTGAGCTAGTATCGGACTCTGTTTTGTCAGTGGGATAGGCTGAGTTAAAAAAGAAGTGTGTTAAGCACATGTTGGCCCAGCCCAAAGCCTCTGCTCCCATGAGGGAAATCCCTAAATTATTATATAGTGGATAGGCTGGTTTGATCACTTGGTCCTGAGCCAGCAGGTTCGTGGCTTTCCTAAGTTCCAGGGGCTGAAGATCTTTCTGGTGTTGGGTCCCTTTCTGGTGTTGGGTCCTTTTGTGAAGATGAATCCTCAAATTAGGGAAGGTGACACGAAACAGAAAGACTCTAAGAGGCCTGAATGCTCTTCAAATTAATTGCTGATGTTGACGTTTTCCCACTGTCTCTCTGTCAGTGTTCTATTTCTGAGACCTCTTGAAACGCAAAGAACACACTGACATTAGGTGTTTTCTCAGCTGTTTACTTACTTGTACTGACTTTCTCTTACACCTCTAAGACTTTTATACTTCAGCACAAATTGCATCCCTTAATCCCGCAGACTTCAAAGCGTGTCTTGAAGAAAGATCTGACCCCATTCAGATTGCTTGCTTGTGAGCCTGGTAGCAAACTCACCTTCTGCTGACTTACAGCTCTTTGATTTTTGTGTGAACAGGGATAGATCAATATGTGAAAGCAGAGACCACTCAAGAGTTGCAAAAATATCCAGGTATGGGACTGAAAGTTGTTTATTTGTACTAACAAAATACCACAATTCCCATGTGACCTCCTCAAGCACTAGAGTACACCAGAATACTGACAGGGAAGCTGGGGCACAGAAGACATATCCTTCTTTGCTGTCACCATTTCTTCTGAGTGTAAAACAGGGAAGCCCAAGGCTAAAGACACGACCCGAGTGACTTTTAATCAGTGTTTTAGTCCTGAGACTCTTAAATGAAGATGACTGATGAAGATGAGGCATTTTTGTCCTCAGCAGCTTCTGTTGCCTTACAGCTCCTTCAGGATGGAATTCATTGAGGGCTTGGTGCAATGGCTGGACCTGCCTGATGCTGTCTTGCCTGCCATGACAGCGTTTGCCAGTGGCTTAGGAGGTGAGGGCACAGAAACTTTTGCCCAGATTTTGCTGAAGGACCCCATACTGAAAGATCCCGTTGTCATTACCCAAGTAAGTTCATATGTTCCCCTCGCGCTATTTGCTTTTGTAAAAAAGAGTTGTTGTGTTTGTCTGTTTGCAACTGAAGTTCTGTTTGCAGAGTTAGGGTAATGAAATCAAGATTTCTGATATGCACATACCTTTGCGTAGCTGTGTGGGTGATTGGCAGTCTCTCATTAACAGCTCATGGGAGTGATGAACATGAGACAGCTGAATTAACATTTGCTATCTTTAATGCCTTCTGCTCTACAGAACGGAGAATTATCAGTCTTTTTACTTGACTGTAGTACTACGGTGTTGTTGTTTCATATGTGCATTCTGCAGATTTTGGTGAAACACTGAACGTGAGAGGCCTGATTTTCGTTTGTTTCCTTTACCCTACCCTGAATCAGCGGTATTTTGTAGGAGCAGGGAGAAGTGCATATACGTCGGTAGGACCGGTTTAGGGGGCCAGATCTTCTAGCTTTTACATAGCTACAGCAGTGTTAAGAAAGTGTTAACCAGAACCCGTCTGGATGTGATCCTGGGCAATATGCTCTAGAGGTCCCTGCTTGAGCAGGGAGGTTGGACTAGATGATCTCCAGAGGTCCCTTCCAACCTAAATGATTCCGTGATTCTGTGTGAAAGGGTTTTTAGACTGAGCGTGATGTATTTACATCCTCCTTAAGAGTCCTTCTCCATTGATATAAAGCACCTCTATGTACTCGAGAACCAGGCAGAAAGACAGAAAGTACAGGAAGAAGAACTAGTCTTGTGCAACATGGAGGCTGATCCAAATAGCATATTTCCCAGAGTCAGCTTTGGCCAGAAGGAAATATAAGTTATTGTGTCTTTATTTTCACTCACTGGGAAAATTACTATAGAAGTATTAGTGAGACTGGGACTACTCTAAAATATTCTGATGTAGAAACTGATGTGCGAATAAACGAAGGAAAGCATTCTGATGGCTTTCACCTTTGCTACAGAGTCTCTGCTGTGGAAAATAATCTCCTCGTGCATTCTCAGGTCATGCCATGCAGGGTGAAGAGCAGAGCAGACTGCCACGGATGTCAGGTATAACGTGAGCAGTGTCACCAAGCAGCCTTCACTGTACACTGCACACACAAGGAAGTAGCAAGGCGTCCTACGTGCAGGCAGTACTCCAATATTGAGTAACAGTTATGACAGAGTCACCTTTAATACTGACCTGACAGAACAGCAAATGCAGGAGCAAGGCCATATAAGTAAAGATAGGATGAGAGTGAACTTCCTGGGTCATCACAACCAACTCTCATCATCTAAGCCATCTTTTCTGTCTTCTAGTCAGTCCATGAAAGGCCTCAGAGGATCTATTCCGAACATCCATAAGTTACAATGCTCAAAATCCTTAACAATATGAGTACAGTGACAGAGAACCTTTGGTTTAATTAGTCAGTTAGGACAGATTTTCTAAAATGAGAGCAGCTGTCTGGGTGTTGATTGCTCCAACTCAGTGAATTCCCCCTCAGCTCCTTCCACCTCTGGACGGCTTGGTAGTTCCCTCGTTATTTCCCTAGCTCTCTGTGCCCCAGGATGGTTTGTCTAGAATTAGACAAGTCTTCCTGCGTTACTGCTGAGTTTATCAAGGACAAAATTTAGGTGAAATTTAACTTTGGCTTGCTCTGAGCTTATGCTGCTTAAGGGCTCCACACGCTGTTATAACTGGGTCTCTGGATCAGCGGGGTTGTTCAATATTTTGTTTTGAATCAGAGAACTGAGGCATTCGTCACCTTGATACAGGTAGAATACGGAAGCCTTAGATAACGATTCCGTGATTAGTTGAAAGCAAAGGTCAGGAATAGCTATCAGTCTAATGCCTCAACATCTGGACCTCAGGCAGTGACTTATATGGACAAGTTGATTGATTTTGTCAAAGGAGAAAGATAGTTAAAAGTTATTATGAAGTGAGGCATGAAAGGCTTGCAAGACATTATTGGGAAAACATATTGATGGGTGGGAGACCTCAACATATCAAGCTGAGATAACCTTTTTCCTTGTTACCTGAAAATAAACAAGCTAAGGGACTTGGTTGACTCTTCATGTGTTGCTTTATGGTACTCTTGCTTCTTTGTATTCAGCTGCTACTGACTCCACACATTCTCTGTTTATTTAACTGGGTATTGCAAGTACGCGCTTCAGCTGCTCTGTATGCTCAGTGGCAGAGTCCTGTCGGCACTAGTAGCTGCATTTTTGAATGCCCTCTCTCTCAAAGGTGTTGAAGGGATAATGCATGAGACCGGGAGGGATGGGGTGAGCTCAGTATTGATTCAGTGAAAATCTGAGGATTATGGATTTTTACCCTTATTTGCATTCGTTTCAGATGACTAATACAGGTGAATGTTGGTTAACTGAATCGTTTAAGGACAGTAGTCATAGCAAACAGGCTGTGGGAAGGCAGTATGAAGGCTGTATGAGAAGGCAGTGCTTTGCATGCATATGGAAAGGCGATTTCTATTTGCATTTAGTGACAATAGAAAGAGGGGAAGAAGCTGACTTTGCCCACTTCTGTTTCTTGGTGAGAAAACGTTTAAGGTTCCTAGTATGAATCAGGGTTTTTCCTCTGGACATACTTGGAATGTCCGTTTTTCCCTGTTTTTCCAGAGAGCAGCCCTGCAATGTGGATTGAAGCTCTCTGTTGTTGAGGAAATGGGTGTTTTGAACTGTTAGCAATTCATCAAAAAAGGCAGAGCCTGAATAAACATTGCTTCCCTTTCTTAGTAAGGCCTTACTCATTTGCATGTGTGAGGGCACAGCTAGAGGGTAGTAGTCTTGAGCACAGAGTTTACAGGGAAATCAGAAGCACCTTATCTTCAAAATAAGACTGAAAAATAAATGCTGCATAGAGAAACAGAAAAACTACTTGTGAACTAATCTAATCAATATAGGTTGTATGCCAGATGACCTATGCAGAGCAGTACAGTGCAAAGCCTAAACCGATTAGAAACAGCTTGAGTAAGCTCATTGGCACAGATGCAGTCAAACAGTAGCTCTAGTCTGTCACCTGATTGTCTCTATCCATCCCTCAGCTTTTGAAATATAGTCATGTAAACATTTAAGCTAGATTTTTAAAAGTGAGTATTTGGCATTAGGTGCCAAAGACCACTTTGGGCATGTCAGTACAGGACCTGAGGCAAGATGCATGGCTCCCGTCACAGTGCATGGAGAGAAGTCGCGGCCCCCAGAGGGACTGTGCACAAAGCAGCAACCCTGGTCAGGAGCCTGCCTGCAGTAGCCCATAGAGAAGGACTGTCACAAGCTCACAAGCTTCACCTTATTTTACACTTTAGGGTCTTTGCTTGGGCAGCTTTCTGCCTGGGACTCCTGGCCCTGGAACCTCTGCTGGGCTTTGACACCTTCGTGCCAGCCCTTCCGCTCAAAAGTGCAGCCAGGGAGGAGGTGCTTCTGCCCACCTATCTAAAATCTTGATAGTTACGGCACTCAGGCTCTGGAAAACCTGAGCTACATTCTTCCCTCTGCCTGTGGGGATTAGTATCTCCATTTCCCACATCCTGCCAGCCAGCCTGAGGAGCAGCCTGCAGCGCGCGTGCCTGCACAGCATGCTAATCGTGGCTGGAGCTAAAAAGAAGCCTTTTCTTCTGCAGCTTGGTGATTAGGGGAACAGAGGAGACCTGTTTCGGTGGCTAACTTAATTTAAAATGGTTATTCCTCTGCTGGAGATAGCGAACCAGGATCTTCCTTTTCCTGAGCGAGTGCTCTGGCCATCGGGGTGCGGGATGAAACAGCAGTGGTGCCTGCTTTGTGCAGAGCGCAGTCCAGCAGATATCTTCTGGAAATGCTTATGCCCTTAGGCCTTGTGGGACAGGCTGGCAGAAGAAGGCTTTCTCTGGGGATGGGAGCAGATACCCAAGTATTCAACAGTGAGGCCACAGGTATTTGTGCACCTCTAGGTGCCTAAGCAACCCCCGAAGAAAACTTGTGTAAGCATTAGGCAGCAGAGGAGGGAAGGTTTTGAGGCTGTGCCTTTTGAAAAAGCACCTGGTTTGATGCTTTAGTGGGAGTTTAGCTGCCCAAATTCTTTTGTTTCGCTAGCCTTAGGCAAAATCCCCTTTTGCCTGTATGAAATAGCAGATTCTTTTCATGCTAAAAAGATATTCGGAGTCCAGGCCCTTACTTCTGAGTGGATAGCGTCTACCCTTTGCACCTCTTCTAGTAGGAGCTGGTTAAGGGAGGCTTGTTCTCTGTTCTGCATTTCTCATGCAATAGGAAAAAAGATGAAAGACATTTGTACGATACGAATTTTACTTACGAGCTACGGGACTAGTAATCATAAACTCTTTGGCAGCATCCTACATCTTTGACTGCATTTTTTTGTGTTCCCGAAAGGCTGAAGGATTCCTTATAAAATTCAGCTATTTTTTACTTGCGTAGGAGAGAGAAGTAGCTGGACTGAGCCAGTGCTGCGTGTTGTAGTTCCATGAAGAACTTGCAATTTATTAGGTGACAATAAAAGAAGAGAACATAGTAGTAACCATATTACTTATTGTGTACTTATCATGCTCGTTAGCACTTTGCATCTAAGGAGCACTTACCTCTTTTTTTCATGAATTTGTCTTTAGAAACCATGTGCTGGATTGATGAATACTATTTTTCCGATTCTTCTGATGAAGAGCCAACATAGAAGTCAAGTCCCTCAGTCTTTACAGATGGCCAAAAATACTGTCATTTCTGTTTTAGGATGTTTAGTCCAAAAGAACTTCCTACCAGTTCAGCCTTACTGCCTAGAGCTATGAATTCTCAGAACGCTAAAAAAGGCAGCCCACTGGTCCGTTAGAGTAGCACGTTTCAAACATGCTATCCGTGTTGTTGAAAATATGAGTAATATATGACCAGACTAGCAGCAGGCATAAGAGCAATAGCAGAGTTGGAGCTCTGCTTCTGCAAAGCTTAAAATCCTGTATTTTCAATTGCACCATGAGCATAAATAACAAAAAATACAGGTCGCTTCAGTGTGTAGAAAGCAGGCACTGCCCTCCCATTCTGCACTTACCTGTTTCTTTCCAGCCATTTGTACCTGGGTATGGAGAATTTTGTACTGAAAGCATCTGGCTTTGCTATACGCTGCTCTACTGAATTGCCCCTCGCTGGCTTCCCGCATGCATGAACTGACATGCTGCATTAATTACGTTGTAGTTTTTCTACTTCCTGGTTCTGTTTTGAGACTTCTAGGCCTATGCCATCCGTTTTAACCTGAATGTTTTTTATTTTCTTTTTAGGATCTTGTGTCCTTCTGTCTGAAAGACGGTAAGTTTGCCTGCCGTTTGTTCTTTGTAAGAATAATGTAGATGATTTCACATTTCTTTCTTTGAAGTGCTCAAAAAGCTCAAGGTACCATCCTATTTTGTCTTAGTTTCTTTTATAGCAAAAGCAGCACACTCTAGCCCTGCTTCCACTGCAGGAAAGGCAACTATTACAGTAGAAATGATTAATGATAACTGATAATTTAAATATTGAACAACTGTTAAGCTCCTAAACTTCACGAACCTTGTATTGGCATGCAAATGCAAGTGATGATAGAAAAGTTCTGAAGTGAAATACTTGACCTGGAGTAGTTGTTTGCCATTGTTTCAAGAGGTGTAAGTGACTTATTCCTTTAGGAAGGCCATGAAGCTGTTCTGAAAATCTCAGCCTGAAACATTTCTGCAAATTATTTGTTGCCTAAAAAGCAAAAGCATTCAGGGAATAAATTCCAGGATGTGCTGTGAAGCCTATTTTGAATAAATGTGATTTTATTCATATACTACCATATATTGCCCATAAAAGAGATTTCTGGTTTACAATCCAAAACACGGATGAGTCTGATAAGATTCATTAAATACAGACTGCCCACTGGGCAAAATGTTCGTTTCTAAAAGAAGCCTTTTTTATATCACTACTTGCATTTTTGAAATCTCCATGTTTTAACATGTTTGCACAGGAAAGAACTCACTGGTTGCTGATTATCCTGTTTCACATGAGAGCGATGTGTCGTTTTTGTTTTGCATTTTATTTTTAATGAAAAGTTGAAATCTATTACTGCAATAGCGCTTATTATATTAAGCTGGAATTTAAAAGAAATAGTATTTTCAAGCCTCGCTGACTTATTGTCATGCTGACTAAGTAGAAAGCTAACTTGTGTATTAGCAGGCAGGAAGCAAGAAAGCTACTCGTTAAAACATCTGCTTGGGCTTGCAAGACGTGGCACATGTGAGGGATGAAGTAAAGATAATATTATCCTATTTCCTAACTAAGCATAAATTTTAAAAGTGGCCTCAATAAAGCCTACCGACGTCCTTTGATATCTTGGTAATGATGGCAATAAATATATGAACTTAATAGGTTGCCAGCTGCCATATGCAGTGTACGTGCAGCAGATATCAGGCACTTACTTTGTAGATGTGGCTAGTCAGTATCTTCACCCACCCCTAGAAAAGCAATTGCATTTTTCGCTCCAGAGTGCACAGAGAACCCTTTATGGAAGCCTACCATCAGCAAGCAGCAGATGCTAGTGAGAGATACATATTTAAAAAAAAAAATAAAGAGTAAAAAAAAGAGTTAGTGCAAATCATTTTAAATCTATCAAATTTAAAAATGTCTTTTCCTTTAGAACGCCTGCTTATAAGCCCTGACGTAATTATTTCTCCTAGTGCATGTTATCTGAGTGCATTGTCCATTCCTGCATCTTGTGCAGTAAAGTATAAATGCAAAGAGCTCTCCAGGGTACGTGGGGACTGAAGCCACCCAGTGCAGCTTGGTGACCCAGTGTGTAGTTTTCAACTCCAGAGTCCCTCTTATTGCTAACAAGATGAATTGAACCTAAAGCTTTTGTGAGGAGGTGCATTTATACAAGATACCGAATCTTGCGTTGGTGCATAAGTTGATGCTATGCAATCTAATATGCAATTACCAGGTATAGTGACTCCCTATTGATAGGATGAGGTTTGAGGAGGAGGATTTTCCAGCTGGCGCTCTCTTCTCTAAGTAACAGTAATGATCTTCAAATACGTGAAAGACGAAGAGGACCTGAGGGAAGAACCTATGTTGTATGTAACATGGTCCTCCAGGGCAGCTGAGCGCCCCGCTTGCCTTTTAATCTTGTGCAATGACGACCTGTTGATTTCCTGGGTTTCCTTCTTTTTAAGGATACTACGATGCTCGAGCAAGGGTGTTGATCTGCCATATCACCTGGTTGCTGAGAATCCCCTTGGAGGAGCTGGAAGCCCTGGAGGAATCTTTACTTGAGAGCCTGAAGGAACAAAAAGAGGAAGAGTCAGAGTAAGAACGTTTGGGTTGACCACAGGATTAAAAACCACCGGCAGCACTTGCGGGTTTAGTGTTAATTACTTGTGCCCAAGGCCAGTCTTCTGACCGCTCCCTCCATGACACTTACTTACTTATTTATAACTTGGTTAAATAGAGTTGCAGAGCCCTCACGGCACTTGCTGACTGCGTTGGGAACCAAGACTGCTCGGCAATCTTAAAATCAGAGCGGAGACCCAACCTTGCGGACTGGTAAAGCCCGCTCTGCACCGAACTCCCTCGTCTCCTTGTTCCAGTTCCCTCTGTTAGACTGTAGGCTTTGCTTAAATACCTGGGAAAGATTTTGTGACTCGTATCTCTTGGTCCAATATTCTTCAGACAGAACTGTGCAGATTGACCCTGGCAGAGGGATTAGCCCCGTGCCCTGAGAGAACTGTTAAGTGGAAAAGCAAACAGGCTGGATCCATGCGGATCAGGCACAGCGTTTTGATTATTTCCCTTGCTCTGCTTGTTAGGAGGGCGCTGGTCAATGTGAATAAGTCAGGGAATTGAACCCTGAAGCCAAATATTTCTTATTGCTTAACTTCAGCCTGACTCACATCTCTGCAATAGTGTCCCTTGCAGAATGAAGTTACTGTCAAACTTTAGGATGAGATCCTTAGCAGCTGATTTTCTATGGATCTGTCCTACTCTGTGCCTGCTTAAGAGAGAGCTGTCTTACTCCTATTGAAGGCAGATCTCAGCAGGCAACCATCTGCGTCTTTAGATGCTTAGTTCCATTGAAAACCTGACTCCTAATTCCGTGTTATTGTGAAGCTAAAATTAATCCTCTTAATCACCAATTCTTCCATGTAAAACAGCCAAAACCCTGGTATCTATAGAAAATGTGGTATTTTTATACTTGTTAGACAGGAAACGTATGAAGGTTTAGCAATGTAGCGGGCAGTAAATATGCCTGTAGTAGACTTTCAGGGGGCTATTTAATAATTTTATCTATAAGCTGAGCAAACAGGGATTTTGAGATAGATTAATAACCTGAGTGCTAATAAATGCTTTAATCAGCACCTCTGACCCAGTAGAGTTCAGATGTTACCGTGTGGTTCAAAAGCGGCATGTGACAAGTATCTGTCATTAATGACTTTATTGTTAAATAAAGCTTACCTTTGTAGCTTACTGTAAAAAGGGAAAGTCAAAATAATATCGCAGATGATAGATTTCTAAGAAGGACGGTTTTAGAATACAGGAGCAAGGGTTGGTAATAATGGGGACTGTTTTGCTGTGGCTTGTGGAAACAAATTCAGTCCTGTGCCTTTAGCACGTACAGACATGCATAATGAGGGTGAGGAGTCATTTGCAAAGATGGTGCCACAGTAGCTAATTATGTTTCAGTTGGACTGTGGCTCCTGAGAGCAGTCCACTAACTGCAGTGAAAAAACCATTTATTATTGCAGTGCTAAAACAAGTGCAGGGCTGAGATTTAGTGGGGAATAGATGACCCCCTGTTTGTTTTGAAGTTAGAACTCAATGAGGAAAGGAAGTGGACTGTAAACCCATCCGTTGCTTTGGCCTCACAGAGTTCTTGGGGTGGGGAATACACTAACGTCTGTAGGATCCTTCCAGCTTTGGCCATCCACTGCAAGAGGTTTTGGAGCAGTCACAACCAAGCAGGTTTTTGGCAGCTTCTGCTGATACTTTTTTTTTTTTTTAAATGATATTCATAAAGTTTTGCTCCTAGCTCTGCTACTGTGGATGTGTTGGCCTCTGGCCCAGTATTTGCAAAGTTAAATGTTCGATATGGTCATCTGCAGAACAATGCTCCAAACATTTAAATCTGTATTACTAGAGCCAAATATGTTCTGACTGGCAGGGGTGAAGCTCTCTTTTTGTACACCGTTCTGGGAGAAACTGGAAAATGTGACATCAGCTGCTTACTAAAACGTAGTCTTGCTGCTTTTCATCCCTGGAAAACGATCTGTAACCCTACCTATAAAACCTCCCTGAACATAATTTGTGGTTCAGGCAAGAGGCCGCGAATCCAAAATGATTGAGGGTAGAGAAGGGGCATAAGAGGCAGTTAATTACCATACTGGAAAAAAAGCAGTGATAATTATAATGCAGAAGCTACTAGGAAAGCAGCTGTCAAACATAGCTGATGCCAGTTACAGCCAGAAAGCAACGACAGGTAAAAGTTCTCATGATAGTGGTTTTATTTACTGCATCTTTAGACAAGATTTAGCTGCAGTCTTTCTACCCACGTAATTCGAATTGCTTATTGCTGCAACTGAAGCCAGGCTAGCTGTGTTTCAGCTCTCTTGATGTCGTTCTGGTTCTTAGAAAACAAAGAGATTTCCCCGAGGTGGTCCTCCCTGCTTTGTAGAAGACCTGCTAATAGCTACGCTTCTGTTCTACTCCTTTTCTCAGAGGATGCATTTGATGAGATTGTCTCAGAAAGCCACAAAAACCTCATAAGGGGATGAACATCCACGTTTCATACCAAACAGTTTTGATGTGGATGACACTAAAAATAAAACGGCATCCTGGTCAGCTCCCGTCTGCTTTCAGTCAGATCTCAGCGTGCTCGTTTTTCCTCTCTCGCTTATGCTTGCTATGGCTCATCTGTCATTGCTCTGCGGAAGGAATAACTGTGGGCTGTGCGTGTTTCCGTTCCTATGGGAGCAGGTACAGTATGGCAGGAGACCAGGTAAATGCTAACATCGAAGAGAACAAGAAACATTCTCCAAAGAAGAACAGAGTTGTGCAGAAGTTGCTAAATACGTAGCCCTGGCCGGCTGCACCATTGTTTTCTGCAGACAGCTACATTTGCTGTTGCAGACTGTGCAAACAGAGGTAATACATAGTGTTTTTCGAAGGATCGCTGCGGCAACTACGTCTCTGTGCCATGAAAGTCAGTGGGAGTTCTGCTGTTGATTGCAGCGACGCAGGGATTTCACCCACTGTGCTTCATTCTCCTCCTGCTGTGTTTTACAAAGCTGCATATTGTTTGGGACTCATCTAAAATTGTCTTTATCAAAATTACAGAGCGCTTGGAGGGTTCCGGGAAGGATTAGGCAATTGTACGGATAATGAAAATCCACAATTAGGTTAGGATTAAGGGGGGAAATATCCAAGTTTGGAAACAAGATAAATTCTCATATTTCAAGGCCTAGATTAACCACTGCATAAGCAGGCTAGAAGGCAACTTCCTCTATAAACTACTTATTCCAGTATCCTGTTTCTCACACTTTCCCCTGAAGTGGAAAGTGCTTCCTGGAAGAGATAAACCAAAGACAGCGGAGAGAAGCCAGAAGTGCTGCCTCATAATAATTGACATTTGTTCCTTTTAGGTTTATTCACCTGTTTCTGATAAGCTTATTAAATTATAGCTTAAATACACACATGCAAATGAATTATTGACTGTGTTTAATAACTATAATATTATTATATTGTGATGCGTAATTAGAAAGTGGCTGAGTTTAAATAGTGCCGTTGGAAAATAGTTTGATTCCTTCTCGTTAGCACAGATTGGCCCCATTCTCTCTTGTTTCAAACAACTTATTATGTTTCCACTTAACTCCCTTGTAGTGGTAACCTAATTTAGTTTCAGTTCTTGTTCTTAAAAGGAGAGATTTGCGGGGGTTGGGGCTTTTTTTTTAATGTCTTCTAATGCACTTTTCAGGGAATTCAGGACCAAATTCTGATTTTTATTATACTGCCATAATTCTGTTTGTTTCTGAGCAACTGAAGCAGAATCTGGCCTCCAGTGTCCAGAACAAAGTTGCCCTCAGGTCTGATGGACCGTGGCCTTTAGTCTTCAGCAGAACGTTTCTAAGGGGATTGGAGAGCTGCAGCAATCGTAGGGAGCAAGGATTTACTCACCTTCAAGCCACAGTATTTTTGCTTTGCGCCTTGCAGGTTAAATCCCTCTGAGGGAGTGCAGTAACTCCTAAGGCTCATTCGCAAGATCAAGTCCCATTTTGCATAACTGGGTGAGGTAAATTGTTCTTTCTCCGTAGTCTGTCAAGGTCATTTCACTTTCCGCATTAGGCAAGAAATGAACCTGGTGCTATATTGCTGCAGCCTGCTTTTCCAGCACTTCAACCCAACGATGGCCGTGAATTGAGTTTTATTTCAAATTTTGTGGCACTGAATACAAGGCACATCCTTCTGTCTTGACAATCTAGTATTAATGTTACTGGTTGGGGAGAAAAGGACCAGCCTAAACCAGAAACCCCCATAGAACGCACCCTTAAAAAAACGTTGCCAGTGCACAGCTGGTTACCACAGTAATTATTTGCATTTGTAGGGATCCTTTTATTTAGGAAATCTGGTATGTGCACAAGGTCTGCATATGATGGCATAAGGTTTACGTGATGCAGACATTATTCAACCTAGTTTACTTGCATCCAGCCCTGATCTGCTATGCTCACAGTCCCAGGATACTGATCTGCAGGCTATGCCTTAAGAAGTGAGAAGTGACTGTTCTGGCATTTTTTTTTCTGCCTGAAGATACCATGAACGCTGCTCTAAGTCCTGTTTGCATTTTTTCTTTTTAAAGGAATGTTAATTCCCCCTGTACTGTCCCACAGTTATGAACTGTTACTGCATGAGCTTTTAGCAAGAGCAGCCTATGCCGTTAATGACAAATACAGGACTGGGGAATGAAAAGGGGAAACCTCTGCTGTCTGGAATGATCCACAAGGTTAACACATTTGTTATAGTAATTTATGCATAATCAGACCAAATGTCTTTCCTGCAGCCCTGAAGACTTAAGACATACACCTGTGTGTGAGAGGAGCTCCCAGGAGCTTTCACTCTTTGCCGCCTTTTCCGATGCATGCCTTCAGCCTCCCCAGGCTTTAGAGCAGCCCATAACTTAATTACGGGATAAAGAGGGCCATGTTAGCCTGGCAGCCAGTCTGGAAGTCTTAACGAACTCAGTCTGCCCGTAGGCCCCGTATGTAGAATCCCGTTCCGTTCCATCAGACACACAGAATTAACTGTGCAATGCGAAAATGGTTTTCATGTTCTAAAAACAGCAAGAGGTTTTATTTAAGGCATGTGAACATAGGCAGTATATGGATGTTAAAATGCTTTTGACTTTTTGTTTCATTTCTTTTTCTTTTTCTTTTTTTTTTTTTTTTACAAGCTTCAGCCCTATTAGGAAAGGTTTTCCAAGTAAGTAACATCTGTTGGCTTTTGTAACCAATTAAATTGTTTCAGTTTAAATCTTGGGGTTTATTTCCATGCTCATGAATCTGAGTGTGTTTCACAGTCCACACCTGCCTGGTAGTTTTTACTGTTCCTGGTAGGGAAATTATACTGAGGAGAATATAAGCAGATTCTGGTGCAGTACTCTTATCTGTCAGGCTTTTCCATCAGCTTTTATGCTTCTTATCCTCCCTCCCTCTTCCTGCAGAACTGCAGAAGCATCACGAAAAAAGAAGGAAAGAGGAAAGAAACTGAAGAGATACCTGCTGATCGGCTTGGCAACCGTCGGGGGTGGAACGGTGATCGGTGAGGCTGCTCCGGGCATTTCAGAGACTTGCTCCAGAGCTGCACATATAGCACTAGGGGCAGAGCGGGCCTTTGACTTGGCACATTCAGCAGCAGAAGGTGTTCTCGCGTCTTAGCACTAGCTCTAATTTTAAAGCCTTCGTTGCTCGTTTTGCCAGGCTCGAGATAACATGTTGCTTCAGATACCAAACAAAAAAAAAAAACCCAAATCTAAGAAAAGCATTCTCAGCCACACCAAAATAAAACTAAAAGGATTAGCTGGAAAAGTTATTCCAATGTAATTCCGTTGACTTGGAAGGAGCGAGTCCCAGTGCGTGGTGAAGGATCAGTGTAAAGATGGTAACGAGGAGAGTGGAGGCTTCAGAGGATGTCTTCCTGGGGCAGACCCTAGTTCAGTCCGAGCTAGCATGTTGAGGAGGACTGTTTTATACATCCCATGAATTAAAATCACAAGACCAAGTTCTCAGCTGGGGAAAATACCAAGCTGAGGTTGTCACCCTTAAAAATAATTTTTCCTCCTTTCCTCTTGTGTTAGAAGAGGATCAGACTGTCATCTTCAATTCTAAATTCAGAATAGTGCACAACTAGCTTAGTGTTTCCTAAGCAAAGAGGGCATAGCTCACCCTAGTCTGCCACAAGTTCTTCCTTTGGCTTTTAAATTATTCTTCATTTTTATTGAAGTCGGTCAAACAATCTGTGTAGAGTTTCAGGTCCTGGGGAGGGTCTCAGAAAGTCCCTTTACTGGCAATGCAAGACAAGATCAGCGTTTGGTTTCTTTCAGTAGCATTAGCAGGACTTCACCCAGCAGGGAGAAATGACTACCTGTTTTTTGTAAATGATCATAGATTGGAGATCTCACGTGTTGCACTTTCAGGCTTGACAGGGGGTCTTGCTGCCCCTCTGGTTGCTGCTGGAGCTGCTACTATCATTGGAAGTGCTGGGGCAGCTGCTTTAGGTTCGACTGCTGGAATTGCTGTCATGGCATCCCTTTTTGGAGCGGCTGGAGCTGGTCTAACTGGTAAGAGAGCGGCTGTACGTTTTGCAGCTGCTGAGGCACAGGATAGCATTCACGTTCCTATGAACTTCTGCTGTTAGCAGAGTCTTGTCGTTGCGGCGCGATTTCTGAGACTCGTGTTTCTGCACTGCTGCGTGTAGGATACAAGATGAAGAAACGTGTGGGAGCCATAGAGGAGTTTGAATTTCTCCCACTTACTGAAGGAAAGCAGCTTCATATCACCATAGCAATCACTGGATGGCTCTGCACTGGCAGATACGGTAAGAACAAGACAAGGAAACAGAGAGGAGTCTGGAGAGCTATGCCTGTGATGGAGAAAATGACAGTAGTGAGAATGAGTGTTTATATATAAGGTAATCTGATCGTGTCACAGTTGCTCAGGGTTGAGTGGAAAGTATAAATATCATGATTTCTTACTGCCAGGCCACCGCATGAAACTGCTTCAGCAGTGTCATTCCAAGCCTTCTTGCGGAGATACTCACATCATTAACAAAATTGCAAGAGCTGAGTTTGGTTTGCACCAGAAGGACAACAGCCTGCCAGAAAAGCCTTTGCTAGTATTCGGTAATGGTTGGGGAAGAACTTAACTTATCCACTCAGGCTAAGCCTTTATGTAGGAAGCAGTAATTTAACACAAATTGATGCTTTTTTATGAGCGGTACTGAGAACCAGCCATGACTGTTCAAACAGGGCTTCCCCCGCTGTTCCCTTCACCTGTGCTGAGCAGAAAATAGTCACTCTGAGCTACGCCTGCTGGACGCGCTCCACGGAGACAGTTCTGGAAGGAAGCTGTGCTCAGTGGAGGAGGTTAAACCTAGCTCCAGGCAGTGTTTAGACTCTAGTAGCGGGATGGCTTTCCCACGTTTACGTGGCCTTTTGGCTAAAACAGATGAACTCTCAGTATAATACTGAGCTGCGGTAAGCTGATCTGCAGTTCCAACCAGAACAGAGGAGAGAGAGATGACAGTAAATCGGTAGTAGTGACAATAGCACCAAACAGGATTGTTTCTATTAATAAATCCTGTCTGGTTTTGCGAGAGAAGATCTGGTTGGGGTGGATGATTTCCAACACTAGTACAAAGCATCTCACCTGCCTCAGAGACCTTATGTTTATCCTCCAGCACTTAACCGAAAGCCGTGTCTTTCTCAGGATTTGCCAGCTAATGAGGTTCATTGCCAAGAAAGTTGTGTCAAGAAAATCCTGTTAAGCACAGCACTCAGGAAGTGAACTAACAGGCAGCAACCTTGAAAAGTTTGTCGTGTTTTAGTTTCCAGTATAGCTTGTCCTATAAAATATGTCAAATGTCTGCTGTAATGTTCAGCAACCTGACGGAACAGCTGCCAATTTATGCAGGGGCATCATAATTAGCATTTGATATCGTCAATGCAGAAAGATATATCTCTGTCCTGTTGCTTGTTAAGTTGCGGTTTGCTGTCAGAGTAAGGTTGTTTTCATTTTGCGCTGCTGCGCTTTGGCTTTTTTTCATCGTCTGCTTGCTAGGGGTCCGAATCCTTGGGGTAGGAGGGTTCCCAGGCGCTCTTACCAAGACAAGTGTGTCCCTTCACAAAACTTTTTACACCATCTGTGTCTGTTTGCCCTTAAAAGGGAGTTACAGATGACGCACATTCTTCTTCCATAACTAGCAATCTGCTATAATGTTTAAAACAGCAAAACTAAAATTGTTATCTGTTTTCCTCCTTATAGCTGTGGCTGTCTGTTTACATACTTACATGACTCTCTAATGCTGAGGGACTGAGGACGGGATTTTTAAGTTCGCTCGCTACCTTGTCATGTCTGTGCTCCTATTAGCTGCCTGTCTGTACATTCACAAATCCGACAAGATGTTGTGGCGAGATTTGGCATTGGACTCACCCAGGCCGCTTTAGTCAGAGGCACAGTCTGGATCTGCAAATGCTCTTCTTTCTTGCTTTCAGGTAGAGCCATTAACACAATCCTTGCCTACCTAGCTGAAGTATTTTTAAATGTTATTCTTGAACGTGACAGCCCATTCAGGTGTCCTGCAGGTTCTTTTCTGGCTCTTTGTTGGACTCTTCTTGCCAGGAGTCAGCTGTTGTTGTGTTTTCTGTGAAGATGAATTCCACATTTGCAACCTTTCCTAGGGAGCTTCACAGCACCATGGAGCAGCCTGTTGCAGTCAAGTGAGCAGTATTGTCTGGCCTGGGAGTCCAAGTACTTGATGGAGCTTGGCAACGCCTTAGATTCCCTGCTGAATGGTTTTGTTAACATGATGGCTCAAGAAGCCCTGAAATTCACTGTCTTGTCAGGTAAGCACCTAAACGGTATCAGATCTGCCTCATGCACTTTTCATTAATTGGAGTTTGTTTAAAGGAGTTTTCCTAAACAAGGAAGATTTCTGAGAAACCGTTTCCCTTGGCAACACTGGCACCCATCCTGCAGAAGTGACGTGACGGTCTTCTCTTCCACGTCTGTAACTCAGAGTTGCTTTCCTGGATTGCTCTGCCTCTGTGTCACTGACTTGTTCTTTTAAAATCCCAGCTGGAAACACCTTTGTTCAGTGTGTGTCTGTCTTAATTTCTCTGTGTTATACTATGTTTTAGTGCTTTGCACAAACCTTTCAAACTTGCAGACTACTTTGTTGTATAGCGTCTGTTTGCCTCCATATCGGAACATCAGATTCTTTCTTATCTTTAGTCTTGCAAAACATTTCTCAGATCAGCTCTTGAGAAAGCAGAACTGAAAATGACAGAAAGTCCTATGTTTAGCTTTTAACTTCGGTGAACCGTCTTGCTTTTGACATTTCCTAAGAGCAGCCCCGATTTGTGACTGTGCCATACTGTTTGCTTTGTGCGTTGCAGGTATTGTGACAGCCTTGACTTGGCCAGCTTCACTCCTGACTGTTGCCAGTGTCATTGACAACCCCTGGGGAGTGTGTCTCCATCGGTCAGCTGAAGTAGGCAAACATCTGGCACATATACTGCTCAGCCGACAGCAGGTAATTGGCTAGAAATAAGGAATAATGTCTGGAGTAATGTCTGGAAGGAATCGATATTTGGTCCACGGGGGTGAAGTTTTATAGTCATGCCAGTTAACTAGCAAGTAGTATGTGTCCAGGGAGAAGAAAATGAATAATAAACTGAAAAATGAAAATTTGCTGCATGAAGGTCATCAGTATATTTCACTGAGGAAAGATTATAAATCCCAAGTTCATCAGAGAATTTCTGCTAAGATTTGTTCCATTTAACCAACCCAAAACTTTTCTACATGAAGAAGGAGATACCCAAGTCACAAATGAAAATCGGCTTGACCATTTCACAAAACAGACAGGCGAACTCACGTAGTGGAAATCTGAGAACAGATGGGAAGGGAAGGAGAAGGGAAAAGAGAACACAGAGCGTTAAAAATATTCACGAGAACTAAGAGGCACCAGCAATACAGTATAAGAGAATACTGTGTAGCATTTAGCTGCATCGTGAGCCATGTTTTTGCCTAAATGATGCCAGCACAAATGTAAAATAATTTCATTGAAGATTTTGGCTGCTTTCTGCTTTTATTAATCCTAAACTAACACAGCAAAGGCATTCATCGGGTTTGTTTCTGGAATAATTGTGACAAGGTCTGTGCAGTATTCTTGTGAACAGAGTTAAGGAGGAAAATCCAGTACTGAAGGAGAAAGAAAAGAGTTAGATTTTTCTCGTAACAGCTGTCTCCTCTTGGGAGGAATTAAAGTGAGGAAAGGATCTCAGTAGCCTGTAGTTTCCTTCATTTTTATCAGAAGCACAAGCAAAAAGACTTGCATACTGACCCATTACTGTGAACGTACTTCCTCTTCTCTTCGTCATTGCAGCAAGCGAAGCACCGGCATAAAAGTGGCCAGGAGCACAGATTAACATGGATGTTGCCCTTCAGTTGATTCTAGCAAGTACTTTGTAGGTGCACCGACACAACGATGCTGAGTAATTCTGTGCTCCCGCTGGAAGCCAGTGAAAAAAGAGGCAGGAGGGAAAGATATGAACGAAAATGAGAGGGAGAAAAGTAGAGGACATACGTTAGCTGGAGAAGAGAGAGGGAGGGAGAATACCAGGTATTAAAACTTGTCAGGGAAAAGGAAACGTGCCTAAAGGGGAGGCAAGCTTAAAAGCTTGAACTAGAGACAAAATAAAAACACCCAAAACAGAGAAGTGGAATGGGCTGGTACCCGAAAGAAGCCACAAAAGTTATTGAGCCTGCCTGAGAAAGCATGCAAAAGGCACCTCTGCCCCGTGAACGCCTGCTGTTATTTGCTGGGCTGTCACTGGCATAGACGCCACGGAGCCGACTGCTTTCTGCCAGCCACGTGTTCATCTTGCAGGCGCGCTAGTCCAGTATCTGTTATGGAGGAGCCCTATGGGAGCCACAGCCCCAGAGCTGCATGTCGTAAATAACACTGTGAAACGGCCGAGTAGGAACAAACTTGATTTGTCATAAAAATACAATCCCAGGAAAGGCAATGAACTTTATTTCAGACAAGCCCTTTGTTTTGCTTGGGACATTTGTCGCCGCCTTTTAAGCGTTACTTATTGTGCAAATGCATATTCCAGTGTGCTGCAGCGTCTAAAACTAGTTAGCATCATGTCTAGGGAGCCCATTGCACACCTGCTCCCTGGTTTGTAAAAAGAACGTTTTTCACTGTTGTTGGGATCAGGCTCTCCTTGATCTCACAAAAAAGCGTATGGGGCTATTTGAAAGAAAAACTTACCTCGCATCGTTTTTATAATGGCCACACAGCACTGCTGCCATTCAGCCTTAAATCTGTAAGTGGTTAGTATTTTTGTATTACAGCTTTTTCTGCCCATTTTGCTCTTTGAATCAGCCTTGAATTTGGAAATTTCAAAACGACAGCGTTTGTTTTGTTTCTGTTTGAAACACCTATTTTGTTGTAACTTCTGATTATTGAATTCTTCCAATTAATTTCCTGACTGTCAAAAAATACAAAATACTCAGATACTGGGGACTCTGAATACTGAACTGGGCATAACGGTAAGGATACCTAATCCCTTTGAAATCCCCAGAATTGCTCAGATGTTTAAAAGATCATGCACAAGCTTAAGTGCTTAGCATGTCGGGGTCTTGGGGATCCTGTGGATCTCCTTTTCCAGCTCTAGAAGAATACTCAATGGCCTTTCGTGCTTTCCCTTCTTTCTTAGGGCAAGCGACCCGTCACGCTGATTGGCTTCAGTCTGGGTGCGAGAGTCATTTACTTCTGCCTGCAGGAGATGGCTCAAGAAAAAGGTAACATTCAACTGCTAACCTTTTTCTCTTTTATTTTCCTTCCTGCTGATAGAAGCTTTTCTTCCAACAGAGCCTGTGTTTGTTTTCTGAGGTATAGCTCAGGACAGAAACCTAAAAATGGTTTTGAAATGCACGTGAAGCCAAATTCTTCTGTCAGTTCCACCAGTTCACTGGATTAAATCCCCTGTCTTCGCTAGAGGTGCACCAGTGTGGCTGGCAGCACTGTTTGGTCACCAGTCTGTAAACAACCCTCTTGACGTTTTGTGACATTCAACTGCTAGATCAGTTTGTGAGCTGCCCACTTGTCACTGTGAACTTGGCAGAAGATACTTTGCCTTTATTGGAACCTCTCTGCAGCTATTGTAGCTGATTCCACGAGTCCTCCCTTCCATTTAAGTCATTGAAATGCCACTGTCATCTGCTATTTTCATGGTAATTTTCCCCCAAAGTCGAGTATAAAACCATCTGTCAATTTATTACCCGTTGTGGTTCTGTTTATTAATAGATTCTATTTTTAATTTAGAAGAAGAATAAAATCATTATGATCAGTTGATGTAAATCGGATCTTGGAGTTGAGTCAGTAGTGAGTGTGTGTGTGCAGCCTGCCTTCCCCCCTACGTAGCCAGTTTAACTCATTAACCATTTAGCCTCACAGAATGTAGCTGATAAATAAGGAGCTTTATAAAGGTAAATGTTCACTCAAGTTGGAGAAGGTGGGAAGAGAGTCAAGTGAGGATGGAGAAGGTCAGCATTTTTTCTGTTGACGGCTGTCTGCCAGAGTTTCGCTTCTGGTTTAAGATGGAAGTCCTCAATGTCCTCAAACAAAAAATTTGTGCTCAGAATAATTTTAATCAAGTCCAGAATTATCCTAATGGAGTTACACTGGAGCCAGAACCCAGATCCCAGTCTGGCCCTCGATCTCCTCTTTTTGTGCCTTGAGAATGTCAGAGGCTAAGATGTTTTCAGGCTTTTATTTAATGGCCTGCAGTCTCTCATTGGAATAACGTGGGACCACAGCTAAGTAACACATGAAAGGAAATCGTTAGGGGTCTTGAAGGTTGGCTGCTATTCTAAAGAAATCTAAGCATCGTAATTATGTATCATAGCCGCTCCCCACTGTACGCTAATTTTTCAGTTCCTTAATTGAATTATGAAAGCGGAGCTGTTTGTGAGATGAAAAGCAGCATGTTTAGCGCAGACTGCCAAGGCGTTCTTCACATGCACATTCCAGCGCAAGCCACAGAGAGAATGAAGCTGAGACCTGGGACATCTGAGACTGATTTGGGTTTGGACTTGGTGTCTCGCACAAAAGCAAGACAAGACCCAGTCATGCAGGCCTTTTGTATCCAGATGGCTGTGGCGTTTCGGTGGGCAAATAACTAATCATGGATTATCCAGTGAAACACCATGGCAGCAGTTTAAAGTCCATTAAAAGAAAATACTGTTCTGCCAAACAAGTAAATGACCCTTGGGATACTTCATCACAAATGACTTTTGAAGCCAGAGTGTAGCCGGTTTCCAGAAAATGACATTATATGAGCACATGCAGGAATGACCCCTGTCAGAGACAAGTTACTACACAGGAAGATCCTTGGTCTGATTTGTTCGTCAAGATTCCCATGCTCTGAAGTAAATAAGCGTAACTAATGAAAACGGTTAGTGGCTATGGCTGCTTATATGGGCTTTATTATTTTTTCATTGCTATAAAAGATTCGCAGCCGGAATATGTAGAGTTGTCCAGAGTGCCAGTAACTACGCAGGTCAGTGAGCTGTTCTCAGGTTTCCCTCCCTCTCCATCAGCTTTCAAAGCAAGTGAGTATTTTACAGACGAGGTTGAACATTTTTGTTCTGAGCATAAGCTGTGCAAAGGACTGGAGAGATGAAAGCTTCCAATACCTTGCCCAAACGTTGAGGATCCTGATGAATTAGCTGTTTGTTTATTCAGTTGGCTCGCACCGCAGCCAGGGAATTTAGTACCTTGGTTGGAATGAGCTCCCTGTTCGCAAGGCCCTGGGTTTTTTCATTGCCCAAGATTGTGGAAACAGGACTTTATTGCTCACAGATTGCACTAGCAAAATTGAATTGCTCTTTGCTGTTCTCTTGATTGGTGTGAAATTTGCTTTGCAATTAAAAAATAATACCACGAGAGCTCTTTGGATGGTTGTCAGGAGCTGGGATTGACACTGTGCAGAGAGAGATGCAGGCAATGCAGGGAGCTCCAGGTCTTTACTGCTGTTAGGGAAAGGACACCAAATGATTTGAATTTAAAAAGTCGAGCCAGGCAGCTCCTCTTAGTCATAATTTGATGCGGCATGCAGTCACTCTTACTTTCACCTCCCCATAAACTTCCCCATATCATTCCGTAATCTGCAAACAGCCACCTCAGCTGGCGGAGCCGTCAGCTCACCTCTTGTGAACACAGGTCTTGCCTAGGTAGAGCCTATGGATTTGGCAGAGTATGCCCAGACAGCTTGAGATGATGTGCCCAGCTGTGAATTGCTTCTAACTGCTATGTCATCAGGTGCTTGATATCTCTTTACAGAGACGATTTATTAATATATATTAATTTAGTATGTTGTAGCTATGACTTGGCAGGAGTTAAAGTGGAGAAGCACATTCATATTTAAATTTTAATTGAGGACTGTAGCAGAGCTGCCCAATATTTCTCATTCAGTCAATGTACTGAAATTTCTGAGCTGCTGCTTTCTGATGAAGGTGAGAGATGAAAGTTTATTATGCCTAAAAGTCAACATACCTTTTCAGCAAATTGTGCCCTGGGCATTTGGTTAAAGTGCACTTCAGGAAAATCAAACCAGACTGATAGATTATCACTTCATGCTGGCGAATGCCTTCGTTGTTGTTAGCTCCCAATCAATATGAAGAATTTGGAGGTTTTCTGTTGCGTGCGCAGGTCACGTTTTTCATCAACTCAGCTTGAAGGATTGGTGGAGAGAAGAGTTTATCGTGCGTAATTAATGGTAACGTTTGCTCACTGTATCGCATGTCAGTCCCTTTCACCTGTTTCGAAATGTGATATAATAGTTCAGCTTTATACACCGTCAGACGAACAGGTCTGTGCAAAGAACTTTCCATATTGCTACTCCAACTGCATCTGTCTGGACAAGAGGCCAGGCCACTTCTCCCTCTTGCTGTCTGCCTAGTTCCTTCTGCTGTCTCAGGGTCTCTGATTTTCATGTTTGTTTACTGACAACAGCTTGAACCGTGGACACTCGCTGTTTTTGGAACATTATGCCTAAGATCTTCCCTTTTCATTATTTCTGTCTTTAAAATGTAAACCGTAGAAATGATGATTTTTCTGTAGTGCACGTCTGAATGTACCCCATCCTCTGTGGGTGTGTAAAGATGTATTTTCTGCTCCATCTTCCACATCTGAGCTATTCTGCTTCCATCTTACTAGACTCTCAGGGGATCATTGAAGATGCAGTCTTACTGGGAGCTCCAGTGGAAGGAGAAGCCAAGTATTGGAAAGCTATCACAAAAGTGGTGTCGGGCAGGATCATAAACGGTTATTGCAGGTCTGTACATGTTCAGTTCCCTGCTTCATTACACTGGGGTCACTTTGAAATGATTTTGTACCTTTACTGCTTTTAAACCTCTTGTAAGCGAACGTTTGTTCAGCTGGTAAACATGTTGGTTCAGTAGCACCAGAGACAGAAGTGCCAGAGTCCCTCAGGAGGTCTCTCCCTCAGATTAATTGGAGATGACAGTCTTCAGGAGACAGTTCAAGGCTGTTTTGTCTCCAGCTCGATTGTTTGCGATGCATATTACATTGGAAGCCTGAGGTTCTTGCTGTGTAAGTCCTGGTTCCTATTCGCACTGAAGCAGCCTTACATCATGCTGGCAATTTCAAGCTTGGTCAGTGTGTCTGTGTGCACAATTCCACGTATTTTCAGGCCCCTTTAAATTTCAGCTTTATGTAAAGGACTCTAAATGCTACCTTTAAGGTCACTGGCAGTAAAAAATAAAGAACATGAATTCAAACCTGTGAAAGCTTTGAGATACAGTTCATTAGGGCGTGCTGACGGAGAACAAGATGTGAGAACTGGAATGGAAGTGAAGGAGCTTGAGCAAATGGAAGAGTTTTTATTTCCAGACTCAGTTTTTGGTCAAGATAGTTTGCATGAACAAGGTATTTTACTTACGAAGGAGGTGCGACTAGGGTAGCTATAGCAAGCTTAGTAGGGGATGTGGAAGAACAGAAACCAAAAGTGAGCCTTTTAAAACTACAGACCACTGCTATGCAGGGTTGTGAGAGCTGGTGGGTGAGAAGACAGAGATGCAGAGGCCAGAAGCGGTTGAAGCCATCTTATAAAAGCTATTAAGATTTCAAGTGACAGCATCAAAGCTAATGACTGGGTTCTGGGAGATAAGTGCGACAAGGACATTGCTTACCAGCACGATTAGAAGAGGGAAATTAAAAAGAAGGAATGCAGTGGGGAAGACCAAGAGCATGGGAAAATAAACTGAGAAACAGCCAGGCAAGAAGACTAGGAAAGAGCATGTAACTGTGAATAAAGACAGCTTATAAAGCCATGAGCCTTCAGGTGAAGGAGCGTTGAAAATGCTGTCGGTACTCTCCATATGCACATCCATATGTATGCCTACATACGTATATATAAGAAGAGAAAGTATTATATTACGGTGCATCTTATGTAGGATTTTACTTTACAAAGAATAACTAAATGAAAGAATTAAAAGCACTGAAGATTAAAAGAACAAATCATTAAGCCCGTCTCTTGGCTAAGGTGAAGAATGTTGCTTTTGTCTATTTTGGGTCACAGGAGGTTTTATGGATGCTGGTTGTGCACATAAACGGCTGTATTTCTTTATGTGCCATAAGGAAAAAAGCAGTTGCTGCCTCCTGTAGATTAGTTAGTGGGGACCTGGGAGTGCTTCTCTTTTCCTCCAAGAAGTCATAAATGATAGGAACTGTTGCCTGTAACTGAAGTTGTCCTGGCAAATATTGTTCCTCCCTGTGCTATACAAAAGTCTATTTCTCTGCAAAAAGCTCAGTATATTCATTTCCTATAACATAAGAGAAATAATCTGGTTATAGTTTCAGAGCCTGAATGTGCTGCTGGAATAAAACGTGTATTTGCACCTGTGTGTGTACAATAATTTGGTTACTCTCTTTGCTTTGGAAAAAGGTTTGAAAAACGATTGACAGCTGAATGAATAACGATGCAGAAATTGTAGCTTACAGATAGGAAGAAGCAGGTGAGAAGACTATCGGGAAATGCTCTGCTGTGCTGGTTTTTCCACCGTCCTCTAAGATGCTGAATGTGAGGGTTCTTCATGAGGGTATTAGATGCGCGAGAAGGATTATGCAAACATTATTCAAACATTCCCCACCTGAGTCTGATTTCACTGCTGTCAGGTGCATACAAATTTTGGCCTCATTCTGTCAGTTCGGGAGTAGCTATATTTAGGTCAGATGAGCTGCATTGAATAAAACTGCTGCAAGATCAGGTTTGGGCACAGTTTGCTGAGCTTCAGTCCACTGTAGCTTGTCCCCCTCAGCTTTGAAGTTTGAAAGAACCCGGAGAAGTGTGAAAGCCCGCTGTCAGAGCTGTCCCATGCGATTTCACAGCCGGGTTACAAATCCCTCGTAGAAAACCTTAACCAAATCAGATAGACTCATTCAGCTTTTCAAAGAACCCATGTCTGAGCAGTGAGGTGGTACGAGATGAAAAACGAAGCGGCTGTGTTGTGGCATGGAGGTGTCACAAAGGTTTTGCAGGACTGTGTAGCCTCAGCTCACAACTTTTAGCACAGACCCTTCCAGAGCGAACAGAAGCAGTGAAAAACGGCTTTCTGTGGAGGTGCGTTTCACTTTCTGCCCTCATACCGCTATGTCCAACTTAAATCTTCTCTGCAGAGTGCCCAGGTTTCGTACTGTCACTCTGCGCAGGCGAACAGGTTACGTATTTCCAAAGGACGCATCACCTTCTCTCATCATGTCTGCCCTGAAGCTGTCACAGTGACTTAAGGCAATACAGTTCGTGGTGGGAACAGACACTGGTTGATTTTGTCATTGAAACTTTACATTTAAAGAGCACCTATAAATCAGAAGCACTCTGAGGAGCGTGAGAGTTGACATCTGTGTCAGCAACGTTGGTACTGTATGCCTCAGCACCTGTATAGCTGCCCTACAGGCTGGAGAACTTCTACCTGTTAGTACATTAAAAGGATTAAACAAGTGAAGGTAGTGCAGTTTCCAGGCAAATACAGAAACAAATGGAAGGGTCAGATTCTTAAACCCACTGAATGTAATGAGACTGCAGCCATGAATCAGGATTACGCTAAGGTTTGCATTACTGTGTCCAGCAACGGATGTGATTCCTACCTCAAAGCAAGCCGCAGCCAGGGTTGGTCCAGACATCACTGTGCTTCCAGGCCCTTTTATTCTCTTCATGGCCTGAGTTGTCATGTATTGCATCGGTCTAGCAACAAGATCTATTCACGCTCTTGTTTTGCTCTGCTCCTAGGGGGGACTGGCTGCTGGGGTTTGTGTACAGAACCTCTTCTGTCCAGCTCAACGTTGCAGGCCTCCAGCCGGTCGACTTGGATGACAGGAGGATGGTAAATGTGGACCTCTCATCTGTAGTAAGTGATACTTCTTGCAGTCTCAGATTTTCCATCTGTCCTTCACTTGCAGCACTGTAACCTCACACTCATTGGCTAGGGGAATATGAGGTATGAAAGAGAGCAGCTGTGTGTGCGTTGTTCCTCTTTCCTTCCTTTGTGGTAACTCTCATCTTGGACTTCAGTAGAGATTGTGTTGGCTCAGCCCCAAGGCTCAGCCAGCATTTGCTGGAGCTAGAATCTGAACAGTATCAACTGAGGTAATTGGAATTTGCCTCTGTTGTTGGATTCTTTTCTTTTCTTTTCTTTTCTTTTCTTTTTTTTTTTTTCGGTTCTGAAATATCTCATACTGGGGACAGAATGCCATTTTTCTCCAAAAAAGGCCTGGCTATCTTGCAAGCCCCAGATGGGCAGGTAGGTAGTCTCGCCTCTCAGGATCAGCTTCCCAACCTGCCACTCACTGTAGCAGTGCAGCAACTGGGAAAGCCACAGCTGAAACACATGACTGCAGAGCAGGGCCAACCTGCCATTTTATCTGGATGGAGCCCTTGACAGTGTCGAGCAAGTTCGCAGCCCTTGTACGTGGTCCCCTTGGCCGGGTTGCCACTGTGCTGCAGGAGGTGGTTGGCAGCTACAGAGCTCCATGGTGTGGACGGCTGGTTTGTCCGGGCTGCTGGGTTTTTGGAGTGTAGGCTTCCAGGGAACTTGAAGAGTTCCCGTTTCCCATCCTGCATCCCTGGCAGACATTTAGTTTCCTCAGAGCTGTCTGATTATTAGTGATAAGCTGCTTTATTATATCTTTAGCGATATTCAGCTCATTTACCTTAAGCAAACAAATGATTTCAGTGCCTTGTCTTTACTCATGAGCGAGCTTCTCCACAGCAAACCACACAGAGCCCACCTTCTGTATGCCTATGCATCGTCATCTTGAGAGTGCAATCTTGTTTTTCCATGTTTTAATGATTTAATTCATCTTCCTCTCTATGCAAACTGAACTGGAAGATAAACTGCACAAAGCTCAGGCTGCTTGCATGGTCACTTTTCCTGCCCTGACTTCTCCTGAATGTCTGCGCGAGCTGGTAGGGATTACTCTGTTAATGTTGCTCTGGAGCCAAAGGCACTGTAAATGCTTGCAGATTTTTTGAAGCACCAGCCTGGTGAGCCTATAAATACCCAACCGTTACCAGCTCGTTTCATTCATAACAACTGAGCTATGCACATTGCTTGCCAGAAAACGCAGGACTTAATGCTGTACAGATAAAACAGAGACTTCACAGGCCAAAATGGGGGCATCCTAGAGGGAAGTGGTAGAAGGGAGGCTTTTAAACATGATCTAGCGCTATAGCTGTTCTTGTATCTTTGTGTCTTATTAGGTTGCCTTGATTAGTATTTCCACATGCGCCTGCGTTCATTCTCTCACTGGCATGGAGTTGTCAGTAATTGCTTGCAAGTAGTGCGTGTGTTGAGGGCATTACAAGAAAAACGGCCAAACGAGTCAACCAGTGATGGTGCTGGGGTGACGTTTCCTGTTAGCTCGTACTCCCTGGTACTCTCCTCTCTTTGGCTTCTCCTCTGAGATCCTCTTTCTGTTGACGTTCTGCTTCCTGATCTTCAAAACCCCCTGGAGTCCCACAGACCTCATCCTGCCTGGCTTGCAGCAGCAGCCTCTCCGTTCTTTCCCCAAAGGCGCAGTATTTACATTTGAGCCAAATGAATAATGGTTGTAGAGCTGCTATCTACTAATCTTCTATTGTTGCACATCTGTGGCCATGCTGCACGATGCCGGCAGACAATCGCAGCGCTGTTCTCATTTTAGAAAGAGCTGACGCTTGCGCTTGCTTAATCTTACTGCAAAGCATGGGAAAAGGGAGAAAAAAAAAAAAAAGCGCAACCCCCGAGGGGAAAAAAACTATATTAAGTAGGTGTCATTCTTGATCCGTTCTCTCTTGATCCGTTCTCCAGAGCATAGAACTGTATGAAAAGAAATACAGTGTATCCTGTGAAACATTTTAAAAGAAAAAGAGAGGAAAAAAGAGAGCAAGAAGGGGGAAGGAAAGACTTAGGGGCACAATTTAAAAAAAAGGTAAGAAAGCCAAGATGGATTTTGCTGCAAATATAGTGCAGTAGCAAAAGAGAACTGTATATAGAGATGTTTTCTATGGAAAATTTGCAGTAGAATACAAGAAGGACTGTTTACAAGAGAGAGAGTTTACAAGAGTTTGTTTCTCAGTAGAGGAAACAAAATCATTAGAAGATAATATCATGTGCGCTAATTTGGACCCTCATCCATCAAGCCCAATATCCTGTCTGTCACAGGACATCCTCCTGCTCTGGCTCTAAATTGCCATCACAGCACCAGGAGTAACAAGATAGATGTTGGGGTGGGAGCGGGGAGGGAGCATCATGAGTAGGATGCAATACATATGCTTATTTTCACTTGTAAAATGGGTATCTGCCGTGCAGCAGACTTGTAATTGTGCGTGTTGGAGAGAAATAGAGCAATACGTCTCAAGTAGAGGAATATTTAAATGCCTCCCTAGAGTTTGACTTCCCAGAAGAGCCTGATTTGGACTTTTCCTAAAATTCATAAGAAAATTTGGAATCTTCTTTAATTTAGGTGGTTTATGTGGAATGTTTTGGACTGGGAACTCTGAGTCTTGTTCTGAAAAAAGTCCTGAGGTGGTGGAGGGACTTGGTTGCTTATTGATAGGATTGCTTAAAAAGTATTACGTGTTTCTTAAAACCATTGTGAGTGCCTATTGCAACAGGAGTAATTTACTGGAGCCAATTGCTTTGCCATTTCCCTGTATTTGTGTCCCAGATTAAGCTTTCGTTCTTGGCACGTTAAAAACAGAGGGATTTGAGAAGTGGGCATATTTACAGCCTACACGGGAAAGGGATGCTAATGAGGAAGTTCGTGAACAGAGCACTTTGAGTGAGCGTGCTTGGCTGTGCTTGGAGGGACTTGGCTTGTTGAAAGGATTGCAGAGATCTCTGATGCATCCTTGAGCTCTCCAGGCAAATACAGTTGATTCTCAGCTTCAGTGGAAATTAAACATCAAAAAAAAAAAAAAAGCCAGGAGTGCTTTTAAATTAAGCTCTCACTGCTTTTGAAGAACAATAACAATAATCCCTAACTGCCTGCTTCCGAGCATGCTGAGCAGGCCCTGGGATGGGCTTATCAGTCATTCCCTCCTTTGTGTTTCTGTCGGCAACCCTCGCAGACCAGCTCGGGCCTCTGCAGAGGACCTAGGTAAGCGTGCAAGCAGTAGGTGCACAGCCTAGACCTCCGGCGACGACGTCTGCCAGGATGGAGCAGTTCAAGTCCCGCTGAAACACAGACAGGACAAGCAGCGATGGAAAAGTAAAGCACCGGTGACGCAAAGGTGCTTTGCAGGCAAATCTTATTCAGGCAGTGTCAGTATCTTAGGCATCTCACAGTCCGTCCATGATGAAAACTGGACTGGACCCAAAGGGCGTGGTTCTCTTTGCTGTGGTATCATGAGAGTCCTCTAACGGGTGGAGGGCTGAGGGACCTTCGTATAAATGGGAATTCACCTCAAAGGCATTTATTGCATGCCTCTCTTGATTAGTATGTCTTTTTATCTGCCTGTCAGTAAGAAAGCTCAGAAGAAATGTCCTCCCACTCAGCAAATGCAGTTATAAAAGCCTTCCTAATGGTTACAATGGGACTGATTTATTCAGTGGATTTATTTGACAGCACCTGTTACAGAAACCGAGGAAGTAATTGAGTTGTAGCGTATTAGATTGATTGCTGTTTGTTCCAATGGGAGTTTGTAGATTACATTCTGCATTAACATTTGAATATTGCAAAAATGTTTTTTAAGTTCAGAGTCAGAATGTAGGCAGCAGAGCATTTGCACAGGGGCTTAGAAGTAAGGAACGGAGGCTTAGGTTTCTTTGGGCAGTTTTACTGCAGCAGAAACTGGGAATGAACTTGCAAGCTTGGGTGTAAAGTGAAAGCACGGTTGGAAGTCTAGTTAAGAGCATGAACGTATCCTGGTTATTTTTGCAGAAGTCAGCACTGTTCTGCTGTTGAGAAGAGGGAAAGGGCTCTGCATACGGTGTCTTATGCACCAACCCAGTGACGGGCTGGCAGAATATCCAGGGCAACTGAGTCTGTCTTCTGTTTCAGGTACATATGCAAATAATCCTTAATTGCTAGTTTGCAATTAGTCCAATGCGAAATTGTCTCCAGGCTGCGATTAAGTTTTGTGCTGACTTTAAAAAGTCCCTCCTTTCCCGTGCTTGCAGCGGCTGGATTCTCCTTGTCTTATTCCTCATTGCATACTGTCAGGATGGCACCTGCCTACCTGATGCTGGTGCTCAAAAATTCCTGTTGAGGCAACCGACAGAAACCCCAGCTGAGAGTAAAACCTTCCCTATGCAAACACATAGAAAGCCAGAGCCCTGTTCTGTACCGCTCACGGACTAAAGATACGAGATACTCTTTTATCTCTAGAGCGGTCGTTGCAAGGATATGTAGTGATGAAATACGCCGCTGATGTTTTTCACAGCCAAGTTCTCCCGCGACGTCTTTGCACAATGGAAGGCAAAACAGAAGAGCTCGTTTTTGGAATAAGCTGTGTCACACGTCGGCACAGTTTTGCTTTTTTCCCTGTGAGCTGCCTCGAAAGCTTTTTACCTGTCCTTTTCTTTGCTGCTGTATAACTAAGCAGTGGGAAAGCTCTCTTTATGGCCGTGATTGAAAAACAAGACTTACTGATCTCTCTTTTCAAACGGCCCCTAAACAAAAAGGGTCCGGTACTCCCATTAGGAGGGAATGCAAACAGATTCAAAGGCAGTCTGGCCATCAGCCAGGCAGGTACACAGCATACATAAATGCCATAAGCAAAGTCTTAGTTTTGGGAAATCCAACTGATTTGGCACTTCTGTGATTCACGCTTTTTCTCTAAAATGCATTAAACTTTTTTTTGTCCTGTATTCCCAAGACTTGCAGCAAAGAATTAATTCTGGTTGTGAAATGTGGCTTAATTAAGAACCCTGGGGAGTTCATAAGGCAAAGGGTTGTGTAGGTCTTGTTATACCCAGATGTAAACACTTGTTTCAAATGAGCAATGCCACCTCCCATGGTGGCAGGAATTAACAGGATCAGAAGAGCAACAGCTAGGAGCAGAACTCAGCTTCAGGTAGGGGCCAGCAGGAGCCTAAGAGCTTCATCTCACATCTGCACACAGAAAAGCAGACCAACTCCATCCCTTTCGGTGACGTTGTGGGGAATTGAGCTCTCCTGAAAAAGTTACTAAGAAATTTTAATGTCCAGCTAATCTCATTGCTGCCCCAGGGGCGTTGTGATGGGCTCTGAGAAGAGAAGGGAGAATGTGAGCATGTGCTGCAAGGACTTGCCTAAAGGAAAGCCATTTCGTGTACGAAGCACCTCTGGTATGCCCGGCTCATCCTATTTTGTGCAGAAAAGTTCTCTTCTGGTCTGCCTATTCCCTTTTCTTGGAAGCTTCCTCCAAGCCTCGGACAAAAGGTAAATACTTGAGTAATGAGATGGCAGGAGGAAAGGAGCACACTAGAAATGAGTACGTGAAAGGAGGCCTTTGCATCTCCTGTTTAATCTCGCAAGGAACTGGCCCTGTTTCCTTTTCTACCTGTTCAGTGTCTCGAAGATGCAAGTGCTTCTTTTCCTCTCATCCCTCTGCCAGCTGGCAAAAGGGGAAGTGCTGCAGGCATTCATTGCTGGAGCAATTCCTTGGTGGCCACCAAGGAACTGCCAGCAAAAGCAGTGGGAGGTTTCCCTAAGTAGTATTAATAACGTTTGATGCTGTAAGAGTGGCTACACAGAGCACAGTCAGGTGCCTGGTGGAAAGTCCTCTTGCGAGTTCAGCAACGTGTCGGTGGCCTTCCTGGTTTCCCACATGTGCCGTAGTGATGCTGCCAGTTGCCATTTTACTATGATAGGCCTCTAAGGAGTACAAGAGATTGGGGTCTTTTGCAAGGCGTTGTACGAAAATGTTACATGCTGTAGTCCTGACCCAGAGATTTTACTGCTTGAAAAGCAAGAAATATGAAGGGAATGAAATAGTGGAGTAGGAAGACTGGTAAGCAAAATAGGAGGCTGTTTCAGCAATAGCTTAGGTGTCTGTTTTCATTCAGGGTCTCCGGTGTAAGTGATACAAACTGCTGCATGTCATCTCGTGAGCAGGAATTTCACCAGCAACGTTAAGATCTTAAACTTGCTGTAAATCAAGGTGCCATGTGCTTGTAGGAGATGTTATTGCTAAGGAAAGCCGTTGTGCTATTCCATAGCTGCTGAAATCTCATCTATGCCTGAAACTTTTTACCTAGATATATTATGGTATATTATAACATATAAAATATGTTATATTTTCCCCGTCAACCCATAAAGGAGGCCAAGGTATGAGGCCAAGGTATGAATAAATTGAGAGCTGGTCATTCTCTCCAGAGATGGCAGAAATTCCCCCAGCTAACCAAAGGTGTTATTCTCCAAGGTGACTTATTGGCTGTGGCTGCAAACTCTTCCAGTTATTTCTCTCTTACAATTGCTGTCGATAAAATGGGAGTAGAGGGAGATGTGATCCGTTGCCCTGGCAAAAGTGTTTGATAGCAGCACATGTCTCAGAACTGACATCTCAAGCACAACCTGTGGTGAAGGAGGCAGAGGCAGGAGCTACAGGTAAAGAAGCCGTGAACGTTGCTGCAGCCCAGCAGTGAGGAGAAGACAACTTCCAGTCACCTAGTGGAAGTAACCAGTTCCCTGCTCATTTCAGGTAGCTTTGACTGTGATTTATCATGATTTGGTTTCCTGGTCTGGGACTAGGTAGGAGGTGAGATGGGCTTCTCTCCATCTCACCTCCCCAGGCCTCTAGCCTTCCGGAACTTATTTCCCTCATTTTCTTCTGCCGTCTTCTTGCTATATTCTGTCTTTTCTCGGGAAATGCAAAGTAAAGCTGGCTGAGTTTTTCAGCAGTGCACTATTCCAGCAAAGAAAAAAAGCACTGTTTACTCAAAATTGTCAGCGTGTTCCCACAAAACGTTTCAAAGTCTTGGAAAAAATGGTTGCATCAGTGTGAATTTGGCCTGAGCTCTGTCTGATCCCCTCATTATCGCCCCAGAGGTGAGAATGGCTTGATCAATAAGCTTTGGATGAAATGCGATTGCAGGTAACAATTACCATCTTGCTCAGAAAATATTGCTGTAATTAAAGGCGCACTTTTACCAGTCAAGGCTGTTTTTAAACAAGGAGCAGAATAAGGATTGAGTGACTTGTTCTATTCACAAGAATTATGATTGTGCAAAGGGATGATTTAAAAGCAAAGCCTATTAGCTTCAGCTGAATCACGCTCCAATCTATCCCATCAGTTCTGCAGAGCAGGAATAGAAACATCAAAGAGGAATAGTGCAGATCACATTGACAGTATTTTCAAAATAATTTTAGCTCTATAGAGTTTTCCTCAAATATATTTTTGTTAGCTTCACCTCCGCTGGGAGCCTGAACTCATACTGAGGATACACCCATAGTGGCAGGGATACTCGTGGCAGACGCCAAAACGACGTTTTTTTAACAGTTTGTTTAAATTCCAGCTTCTGAATTACTGAGCATGTTCACCTTCCTCGCTTCTGGGAAACTGTTCCCCAAGAATGAAGACAGAAGGATTTCATTTCCATTTCAACTGAATTCAATCACAGCCTCTTAAGGTCTGTGCAGTGCCCTGCTGGTGCTTGCTGTGGGATTTTGCTCTTCCCCTGGATTTTCCACATACCTCTAAGCCAAGCCACGTTCCTCTGGCTGACCAGGGTCAGGTCTTTCCTGTAAGCTTTCAGAAAACAAGAGATGGGGAATTTTCAGCGGGACTGAATGTCCTCTATCATGCAAGAAGTACTCAGCACCCAGAAGAATTAAAGTTTATGCTGACATGGGGGAATAACTCGGACCAGAGGATGCTGCCAGCTTGGCAGAGATGCCAGCATTTTGATTGATAACCTGGCAAAGCTTGGCAGTCCTACAATCAGTCAGCCCTTGCCGCCATCTGGAAGAGGAGGGCTGCGTGGGTCTCGAGACGGTATCACCAATGGAGGGTTTTTGGAAAGAAATGCAGGCTTTGGCATGTCTTCCCTGCATTAGCAGTGCCACCGCAAAACCGGCCTCGTGGCTCGCACGTATTTCAGAGTGCAGGATTGTCACTTGCCTCTCTTCAACAGCAACAGATTCACTGTCACTTTTTGAAGCGGAAAGTAAACCGGATTGCTGGGGTGGCAACAGCAAAGATCGCTGAGATCGAGATATTCCTCCCAGAGGAGTTTGCGCTTCATTATGTGCGGACACAAAGCCTGTGACGCACCAGGATGTAGCAAGGACTGCTGAAAAGCGAGGTGTGATTGTTATCCGAGCTTCAGAAACTGCAGCCCACTCTATTAACTCTTTTCACCCCACACAGAATAATCGATAGTGAAACAGATACTGTTAGTCAAAAGGGAACCCTGCAAATGCGATGTCCTCCAAGACACGTCCAGATCCTGCTGATACAAGGCGGCTCTGGAGAGAAATTTTAACTTGCGGGTATTTTTTCCTGCGTGACGAAGTTGCTCATGGAATAATGTCACTGTGATAGCCAGCGTCGCGAAGGAATCCGAATCTTGCCCACGCGAGTCAGCAGCAGAGCCAGGATCCTCAACGGGCTCTTCTGCCTCCCAGGTCCTTTCTCCGTCCACCGCTTTGCATCCTCTCCGGGCTGTGGGATGCACCTTGGGCTCACGTAGCCCCAAAGAAGTTGCCGTGATTCCTCCTCTGTCCTAAAGAGGTCATCTGCTTGGATGGGTCCTGCCTTGGGGCCTTTTCTGGTCTTTCTCAAAGCCGAGGAAAACCAAACGCAAAGGCAACGGAGGGGAGCTGTGGAGATCGCACCAGTTCGCAGCTAACGGAGAGCGCTGCACGGCGACTGCCAATGGATGCCATTACCGTCCCTTTTCAGACCGGCCGATCTCCGCTCCCGGGCCCGCTCCACCTGGAAATGCGCTCATTAATCCAGGTGGCAGCTTCTGTGTTATAAAGCCGATCATCTGCCTCGGTACGGAGACCGCCAGTGGGTTGGTTTCAGGCACAGGGGCGATGACATTATTTATTTTCAAAGCTCCTGTAAATGGGAACAGTGTTTTTATGAGACTGTAACCAGAGGCACTTACTGTACTGAACAAAAAGAGTTCAGTGAAAATTTAATAGGCACAGCTGAGCGTGCTCAAGGACATTTTTGACACTTTGGAGCGGATCTGAACTTGAAAACCTTTCCAAAAGATCTGAAATGATGGCTCCTTTTGGCTGATTGATAGATCCACCCGAACAACGCAATAAAGCGTAGCCTTTGGGAAGGCAGTTGGTCTGTGTCTCCCAACGAGTCAAAACAACCATAAAACCGGATATAACAGGCGAGAAGTCACCTAAGCACGCTGTTTTCATTTCCTTATAGCAAGCATAAATGTATTTGCCATGGTTACAAAAGGGACTTTTCCATTCTGTTTGTTCTGAAGTTCCTCCTGCACTTTGTTCTCACAAATGCTCAAATAATTGTTTCACTTGAAAGTTTTTATTGTCCCTTACAACGTTTTGAAAGGTCCCATCCCTTCTCCAGCACGGCCCACCCAGCGGAGGAATGCAGCTCTTCGAACTGCGTACAGAAATGGGTGTTTGTGGAGCTGGAATCGCCGCGTTTTCCTCCCGGGACGGCGCCACATCTGGCAAGCGGCGCTGAAAGCGTCATAGCTGCGCTTTCGCTGGTGGCTCACTAATTAAATGTCCCAGCACAGCCGACTTCTGCGAAGGAGTCCTACGCGCTGGTCGGCTCCTCTCTGCTTGCATGTGTCTAGCTTTAGGGGATCCTTTAAACTCCTTTGCTGGGAACAGGAGTGAGTCCCCGGAAGAGCTTTAGCAATATTACTTGGCTGGTCTGCGGTAAGAGACAGACTTTCAGGAGGTCTCAGCCCCTCTTTTAGTTGCACGAGGAGAAGCCCGGCTGTTCAGACGTGCTTATGCGCGGCAGCTCTTGGGGATCGCGATGCTCGAGGGAAAGGAGTTCCCCACTGTTTTAGTAGAAGCTGCTGGATACTGAGGACTTAAGACTTTAGTCCTTAGGGTGACAGAGGAAATACGTTCTCTCTGACTAATGGCTGCGTAACGCAATAAGCCACTTCTTAGAAATCCCCAGGCACTGACCAAGGCGGGTAGATAGCAGTGCCTGGCACTGAGGAATGGCTTCAAAATAGACTTCATCCCTCCCTTAACTCCATTTCTTTCTTGTTTCCATCCACCTTGTCCAGCTATCTACTCGTTTCCCGTCTTATCCCTGCTCCGGAGCCCCCCTCCAGAAATGTTCTTATTTTTCCAGAGAACAATGTGCACATCTTAACAGCCAGGCCATTCATCCTTCGGTGGTTATTTTAATTAACTAATCTGTTCAGAATATCAAGAGGCTGTTGAGCCATCTGGACCGAGGAAAGTCACATATTGCATTACTAACGGGCTGATCAAGTCCTTCGCTTTGCTCCAAGTTCCCAGTGTACCCAAGCGTTACCGCTCAGAAGCTGAAGTCTACAGGGCCGGCTGATGAACGAGCCCTGGGGAGAGCCTCCACCCAGCCCACCAGCCCTTTCATCTCCCCAGAAAGACCCACTATAAATCCACCCGGGGAGGCTTTGCTCCCAAGCCCGCCCTCCCATTTTGGTTGCGAGTACAACAGCAAAGGAGAGCTGAAGGATAGTCTTTAGCTGGATCGCGGCTGTAGCTCCTTGAAAAGCTCGGCTTGAATGTGGCGCTTGAGATGGAGACGGCAGCTTCTGCCTTTCCAGCCAGGGAGCCTTTAACATACAATATTAATCACCGCAGAGGGTTTTTTTCCTCTCCCTCCTGCGCCCTGGTATGACGGGTACGTTCCAACATCCGTATCAGAAGGGTTTATCTTATCGTGGGAACCACCCCACAGTCAAGTGGTTGTGTTTTTGCAACAACATATTGCTGACTTTTTAATTTGGCTTATGAACCCATAACTCCTGGATTCCCAGTTTTATCCGGCATCCACAAGGGAAGATCAGCACACGTTTAAACAGAGCCTCCGAGCACCTTCTGGCCGAGAACCTTAACGCGCTTAGTGGCAGATGTGAGGTTTAATGACTGCCTTCTAATTTAAATAAGCTAATCTTTGCTTCTACAGGGAGCTAAGGCACAGGGAGGAGGCGCGCTTTACCCCGAGAACGGGGAGTCGAAATGGGACTACTTGGCTCCCACCCGGGAGCCCCTCACCACCGCAGATCCCCTCCTCTCCTACCTCGGCGGCACGCGCAGTCCGGCTTTGCGACTGAGCGCCGTGCACGCGTTTAAATACCCAAACAGAGGGCGCAGGGGGTTGTAGTTGGGTTCCCCGCTAATGGCGCGCCTGTTGTCACTTGCAGGTGAACGGCCACCTGGACTACATGAGGCAAATGGACACCATCCTGAAAGCTGTGGGCATTAAAACCAAGGAGTGCCGGCTGGAAGACAAGGGCAGCGCCGGCCTTTTCTCCCCTCCAGCCAAGAAAACGCAGCAGGCAGCAGGCGGCGAGGCTCGGGAAGAGGAACGCACCGTGCGAGACGAGGACGCGGCTGATGGTGGCCACTGGTCCT